TGAATCATTGTTAAAGGAAAGATCTGAAACTTGTGAGATCCAAAAAGCCAGACATTGAAACAACAAAAGTAACAACAGCAAGATGATGAAGTTGATGCCGCTACTCACAGCAAACTTATGCTTAGATACTCACAGTTTGCGCGCTTTTAGCACTGTTGCACACCATTCCACGAGCAATTGTTGAGGGATTTCAAGCCTTGAATCTTCATCAGCATTTGGTTAGGGAGATGGCAAACATTGCGGATGGGTGGTTCACCAAATTTTGTCACTTTAAAAAAAAAAATCCATGATTGAAATGTAGATGACTGATTGTAATGTGATTGAGCAAAATGCCAAATACACCTCAAGCTGCAACTCTGTCTCAAAATTTGGTCTGGCTGTAAGCACCTTTAAGTTGAGGTAAATTGAACCCCTTCAATGTTCACCAACTTGAGCTTTACAAAAACAAATACTTGGACTTGTCACGAAAATGTCCACCCCTTCTCCCCCTTTCCCCCCGTTAGTGGATAGTGTTTGGAAATTTACCCAGAATGTTGCGGAAAGTTTATTGTTTCACCGGATAAACCCTGCATACTTAATTTGGTAATGACAGGGCACCGGTTACAGCTGCCTGTGGGGGAGGCGGCGTAAATGTCACCAGCGCACATGTTTCCGTCACTCAAGTGCTTAACAGTTGCCGTGATCCAATGTAATTAAAACCGTAATGGGTGATCATTAGCGGCTCGTGTACGCTGGACTTGCCTGTTGAGCAGATGGCGCACGTTGTATTTCTCCTGGGCCCAATCCAAAACGTTGCCACGCTCCATAACTTGTTTCTACACATGTCATTGAAGTCGTTCACCAAAATTAATATCCACCCATCCCGATTCATTTCATGATAACAAATTTTGTGACATAGTTAATAGGTACGGAGAGTTAAGATTTTATTGTTGTTGGTAAAACACATTCTGCAAAGGTAGAAATCACAGAAGCGTTTTCAGGACTCCAAGCTGCTTTGAAACCATGCCTTACAAATACAGTGCTGTCCTACCTTAAAAAAGGTCTTTAAAAAAAGAAAAGGCAAATATAAAAAAGGAAAGAATAATTGGCAAAGAAAAAGCCAACCCTCTTATCGTCAGTTCTACGGCAGAAATCATAAATGAAGATGTAAGGGACACAGACGGGGGACAACACAATATAATTGGAGAAAAACCTGAAATCGTGCAGATTGTAAACGATAGAAAGATCAGAAAATTGGCGTGGATGTCACCATCTGCAGCTGGTTCTCTGCACTTACTTCAGTGATCCCGTCACCTGTTTATATTGCAGCTTAAACGATGTAATGCAAACAAATCAGAGGGTTGTAAAATTTGAATACATGAAGAAGTGTGAGCAGGTCCACTGAGGTACCAGATTTGTTGGAAGGGGTACCAAGTATTTGTGGGTAGTTGGAGTTCCGGTTTGATAATTTTTTTTCCCTCTGGGCTGAAACATAATCTGACATGAAAACCAAGAAACAAGAAGGTATTGTTGACAGGATCATCTAACCAATAAAGCAAGCATACACATCCTGTTGACCAAACCTTGGGAGTACTGGTTTCCTACGATAAGCTCTCATCTGTAACATCAGACAAGATTGAAAGTGCTCTCTGCTTGCATATTGCTCATATTTGGTTGTGTTCAAGATTAGTCGCGAACGGCGTAACGGTGACGGAGTGGCACGTTGTGTTTTCCCCAGTGACTGCCTTGAATGGTCGACCTTTAAACTTATGCATGTAACCTCTGACCTGCAGTGTGTTTCCAGTAGCCCTTGGAATTTGTGGTGGGACGTGTTTGTTAGCCTTGGGGAGAGTCATACAGCAAGGCAGACGGGTTGGTGTTCTTGTGCTTTCCTTGCCTTCATCCAGTTTCATGACCCCTGGCTCCAATCCAATTCCATCCATCATATGGATTGACTCTGTGGCCCCACATAATAGCCTGGGGTTCTCTTCTAGAGTTCTTTCCACTTGCGTAAAGCTGATATCGCTTGTACAAACGGTCCTTGGTTCTTAATAGTCATAAATATTCTTTTTGTAGCCGAGTGATGAAATAGATGCTCAAGAGTTTTGTGGCTTACAATTCTCCCCCCCTCAATTCTTATTCTTGTTTTCCTTTATTGTCACCTGTAATTCCTCTTTCTCCCACCATCACTGAAATCCCTGTGACACCGTGCCCTCTTCAAGATAAGACCCATCTTTTGTTTCAAGTGCCTCTGAGCCTCCCCGCAGCTTCCTTAAGCATCTGTCGCTCTCCTGTATCTGCATCATCAGTAAGGCATCCCGGACCCCGCCTGACTGCTTGTTGCACTCGACTCTAGACAGAGCGGATCCCTCAGCCTGACCTCATGGAGTCAGGGGTCAGAAGTCAGTTGCGAGCACATGATCCGTAAAGTGCAGAAAACCCGACGCCTGTCATCACGTGCCACCAAATAAATTTTCCATGGTAACGTGAAAGGAAGTCGAGTTCAGGAATTGCCATTTTTGGGGGGCTCTGTGTAAGGAATGGTTGGTAATGGCACTGTCAGAATATCTGAGCTGTGTAAGTCAAAATGATAATCTTTGGTATTATTAATGTTTCAAACGGTATGGTGGGGTACGTCTTCCGGAAAAGGGTGACGTGCTGGGTTGACTGTATTCGGAGATATTTCCCATTGCTAGAATTTTTCCGGGGGGGGGGGGGTTGACAAAGCACTTTTTTGGTAGGGAAGGGATTTCAGGGGGTAGGGAATGGTCAAAGTGCGCATCAGTAACAGACTGATAAACCATTAACAGTGAAAGGAAGTATATTTTGATTTTTTGTCCCCCGGCAAATGGATTTTCATGCCTGTGATCTTTTTATGATTGGTTCGTTAAAATCTGCTCCTTGCAGCCTGCTGGCTGAATTACAAAGCAGTTTACATTTAATAGTTTAACCTATACAAAGAGGTTCAAATTCAGTGAAAAGTATAGACTAAAAAAGAGAGCTTAAAAACATAATAAAGGCATAATAATTATATACACATACTCATGCACACCAAAAATCCACATTAAAAATCTTTTTGGACTTTTTTCATTTTTGATTTTTTAAAGTTTTCTTCGGGAGCGGGGGGGGGGGATTCTTCTTGAGCCCCCATTACCCACGAGCCCCCATTACCCACGACGCCCATGGCTATTTCAAATGGCAGTAAGTGTGCATTTCTGTTATTGCCTGCCCGCTAAGAATCTCAGCGTGCACTTACTTTGTCCAGAAATCCGCAATTTATGTCTTAATTTGGTTATAAAAAAGTCGAGAGAATGCAAAAAGCAAAAAAAAAGAATTTTCTGGGAGACAACATACTGCTGGCTTATAACGAAATAAAGTATTCTGATCACTTTTCATCGTACATGGTGCAGATGAGCCACATTTCCCAGGTACATTTAGGGCCATTTTTTAAAATTCTATCTGGCAGAGAAGTTTCCCAAGCTCAAGCTTTTCACATGAGGGCGCTGTAATACTTTTGGCAATGAGGCATCTGGCTCTGCATCCACAAGACACGTGCTCTGTGTGTGGTTTTAATGACAGTCACAGTGTTTGGACCTGACAAAATTCAGTCTTTCCCCTTTTGTTCTCAGTCTGTCGAAAGCTAGCTTGTTATAGTTTGGTTCAACTTTTGCTCTTTTGCATGAACATAGCAAACTTTGTACACAAAGTCAACAAATGGAGGTTCTGAAAAAAGGGGTTTTTTCAAGTCAATGCGGCTGTTCTGTGACCCACTCAGACATTCCGCTGGATTGTCTAATGCTGTTTTGTCCAGTTTTTTAAACCTTGACATTTGAAATCTCATGCCACATTCGATGAACGTAATATCATTCCTTTTTTGTTTCCCGACGTGAGCTTTGGAAAGGTTCCAAAGCACAGACTATACCTATGTAACAAAAAGCACATTACTCGGCATGAAACATCTTCAATTTGTTGCCTTGGGGAGGTCGGGGAAATCTTGCACAACCACAGTTGGAAAACAACTACCTCTAACAAGACTTGGCGCATGAATGAGGACATGAGTTTAAAAGGGCACTCTGGCCTAAAGCTATAACGTTGTCGTCACTCACGTGCAGAGAAAAAGTCGGGAATATCTGAACGCCTTACCCTGGAGATTTCCCAATGGATTTCCCACAGCCTGTCAGCCGTAGCTACAGAGCCGCTGTTCATTAATTGAAATGTAAAGGTTCGGCAGCTTGTAGTGTTGTAAAGAACTTGACCTGTCTGACATTTGGTCCTTGCTGCCTGTCTAAGATTTTTTTTTCTTTCACCCTCCGTGGTTGCGTTGCCGAATAGTATGACCTGGTATTTAACACATCTGCGTGGGACATGATTGTAGGCTGCAAGTTGAAGGACAAATTACAAGGCTCTCTTTCTCCGCTTTGAAGGGAAGAGGTTAAAATTGCGTGCAAATGGAAAAATCCGCCGACAAAATGCTCCTCCGTGTCACTAGGAATGAGGCAAACTGCAATCAGCTGTGATACAATCGACTGACAGGGATGATCTGTTGAATGCTTGATCCAATCTTTCTTCCCAGTCTCCTAGGCATCAAGTACACTTGTTATACTTTTTGGGACAGCACGGACTGCCTCAATATTGCCGAAGAGGGAAAGGTTATCCGTCCACTTCTTTTGCTGGAGAGGGCAGAAGGGAATGGGCCACTGGATCATCCTTGATCCTTTTTAAGTTTGCCTTGAATTGTAGAAAAGTGAAGACACCCTTGGAGAAAAGGGCAACAGAGAAAGTGATAGATTCAGGCTGCTCTTAAATTTGAATTCAATTTAAAGGTAACAGATTAATATCCAGGGAAGGGAAGTAAAACACCCACATGCATTGGTGTAAAAATTACTTAGAAAAAATATGAAACAGTGCCACCCAGTACCAAGCGCTGCATTATGTGTTGGTCATTGACAATCCCTTCTGGTATGCAAATGATCTTTCTGCATATTTTACATATTCATGTCCCACATTCTTCCTCCCTTCAGGAGTACGTGCACGACGTGTGGCTGTCAGCGGGATGACCACGACATCATCCACGACAACCTAGTGACGGTGCACGAGCGGCTGGGCGTGGACACCAAAGACCAGAACGAGCTCGTCCGCAGCAAAGAGCGGGCCCTGAGCCTGGGCTACTCGTGGGTGCCTCAGGGGCTTTCTCCGGCAAAGGTACTAGGCAGCTTTGGGAGAGTAGGTTCCATTATTGTGGTTGAGTACTTCACAATTACTCCGGAAGTACATCACAAGTACTCTAGTCTCCGTGTCAGCCAATTGCCACTCCCATGAATGGTGATGAGGGACATTCCCTTGTTGTTGCTGTTCACTCACTGTGAGCGGTGAAAATATCTGTGAAGTACCTGTGAAGTAATTGACTACAGCGCAGGCAATTTTGTCAGCTGAAAAACTGTCTTAGAATCTGGCAGGGATCTTTACTGGAGTGTCTAAATCCCTCAACTCTGCAAGAAATTCGTGGTACATTATTTTGGCTTCAGTTTTCAAGGGGAATTTTTATTAAACAGTTTGTTAATGTTGTCTGGGGCTCGTGAAGAAGAAGTTAAAATAAGTTTGCTAAAGGGTGGGCCTCAAATCCACAAGTTACTTGCAGCGAATGAAGGTGTTCCATTCCATAACCACCAAGCATTTAGAGGTCAACTGGCCAGTTCAGATCTGATACGGCATTAGGTACCTTAGCAGAATTGTTTTGTACTGGGGAGATGCAAGCTTTAATAATCTGCACTGCTAACAAAGTTTTGTAGAGCTGATCCCTCTTGACACCTTCTAGCTCATTTTTGGGGGGCTTCATTGAAGCGAAGAATGGGACTGTGCACAGGTGATTTTATGCTGACTTTTCTTACCGTGCGTTTTCCCTGTTTCCAATGCAGGTGGAAGACTTCATGAATTCCCTTCCCAACAACCAGGTGCCCCGGCTGCACACAGCCGGCCAGAAGTACCGGGACCGGCAGCTGATCCTGCAGATGCCCCGCCAGGACCTGGCGGAGGAGTTCTGCCGGCACATCCTGGACGCCGCCTCCACTGAGTGCTTTTACCAGTTTGTAGAGCTGCGAGACGAGGTGGCCTTTGCCACTGGCCGGGTCAAGGACTACCTCAAGCAAGATCAGGTGAGTAGCTGCTGAACAAATTTGCTAAGCACAGAGCATTATGTGCTCAGTAGAAATGGGTTACCAGCCGAAATGCCACAACTTGATATGTTGCTGGTGGCTGGTTCTTGGCTGACCTTTGCTGAGCGAGATCGATATTAGCGAGATCGTCTATTTATAGGCTCTATGTAATGGGCCCTGATGCCTGTCTTCATGTGCGATGTGCTGGCGGGGTGCTGTTTTCTGAGTTCCATAGCTCAAGCAAGAACAGGGCAAACAGAGAAGGGTTAACTTTTTCTCTGCTGGTGCAGCCAAGGTCGTATTTTGTCTGTTCAGGGCAGGGCCATAGTCTGGTGCATCACACGTCCAGTCACAGCTCCTGTTGCAATTCCAGACACAAGACCAGTCACAAGTAATAAAATGAAAAGGGACAAAGGAATACTCTGACCCCGTTTCTTTTGAATAGCTTTTGATTTGGCTGAAGGCTTTCTTTCCATAGGGTAAGCTCAAAGGAGATTTCCCTGTGGAACAAAAGAACTGCTCCGCAAAATGGCTATCACGCAAAGCCCTTATAGACTCAACCACAGCCCTAATTCAGGGGCGACCATTTGTTTCATCGGTGCCGATTTTCCCCCCGTCCCCCACAGGAGTGCTTCAAGTGCGGTGGTGAGATCGAGGCTGGCGACATGGGTGTCTATGCCGACCTGCTGGAGGACGACTCGCTATGCTGGCACCCGTTCTGCTTCACCTGCTACACCTGCGACGAACTACTGGTCGACTTAGCCTACTTCTGTAAAGACGGCCACATCTTCTGTGAACGGCACTACGCGGAGCTGGTGCTGCCCCGGTGTATCGCCTGCGATGAGGTCAGTCCACAATCTCTCCTTTCATTGTTGTAGCTGAACTTTCCGAGCTAGAGCTCTTTCTTTAATAGATCCCTCATCTTCCAGAATCCCAAGTATGCAATTTTGAATTAGTATCAGATCAATCAAGGCCTTAACTTTCTGAGGTTGAGATACATCATTCTGTGTCTGTCCATACTCCAGTGTGGTTTTTATCATAAAAAGAGATTTCTCTCCAAAAATGGTAAGAAACAAACAAAAGTTAGGATGGGCATAAGCTTTCACCCATCTAACAACAGATGGCAGCAGACGGTTTGCCCAGGCATGCTCGAGTCGGCAACTTTGTCTCCAAGTCTTGAGACACGAGTGGCCTGTGGAGTTACTGTGGTACACTGTACGAATTGAGTCACATCAAACAACCTCCACGTTGTGATTAATGACATCCCTCAGGTTGTCTCCTGAAGGTCTTGCTAACTATGAAGATGAATATCAATTGAAGGGGAGCACTTGGCCAATGGCATCAGTGGTAGGGCTGCACGGGGTGTGGGCAGGGAGTGGAAATTGAACTATGAGCAAAATGGAACTGGCGGGCGAACAAATCATTTTAAGGCATTGCAGGTTCATTTTAAAATTTGGTGGTCATTGTTGTGTTTATTATGAAATCTTTTTTTCTGGATTGCATTTCTTCATTTACTTTTGTATGAGATTGTCAAAGAATAGTATCTTGAGGTGTAGATGGAGAGTGGACTGATGAAATCGTTTGGCGCCCTCTTGTGTCCCTGATTATAAGAGAGGGGATTAGTTCCTAGATGGTATTTCTTCATTTACTTTTGTAGGAGATTGTTCAAGAATAATATCTCGAAGTTTAGGTTTAGAATACTGACGAAATGGTCTGGCGCCCTCTTCTGTCTGTGATTTTTGTGACATTTGTTTTGAAGATGCATTCATCTGCTGCCCTCTTTAGGGTTGTACCCAAGAATCAAGTCTACCCCATGTAGCCAGCATGGTATGAATTTGCTTTTCCCATTGAGATGTCGTTTGCTGCCCCCTGTTGACAAACGTCTGCTCTGCAGTTCTTACCTCCCATCAGCAACTAATCTTGGTCAACATTCTCTGCAAAATCCAGAGTTTATATTCCACGCAATTCAACATTTGCTGTGTAGAAATTGCCTAGCATGTATGGCCGACTGAAATTTTGTTTCGATTAGTTCAAGATGGTGTTTGACTGTCTTTTGATGTAACCTTTGCTGATGTTTCCTTGTTGATGTTGGGGTGTTTTAGGTTTATTAAGGCCAAAATTCAATATTTAAGAATTGATGCAAGTGAAAGATTACTATCATTATAAAAGACAGATGTCTTCTTTTTTCAAATCATAGAGGAACCATTGAAGAATGGATATTTTTAGGATTACTCCATAATCTTGTCAATGCGTTACAAAGATGCTTACACACCAGATTAGTCCCGTCTCTCGGCATGAGTACACTAGTACCGTGCCATGTACGCTTTTGATACAAGAATTTTGCCTCTCCCCGATAAAGGAATATGAATCTTCGCTCTGCTCCTCTTCATCATTTCGACCTCTTACCCCCGATGAAGTTTTAGGGTCACCTTCTGGCTCGTGAACCATTTAATTACAGCATTCCTTGTTAGAGCTAAGAAAAAAAAAGAGAAAAAAAATTGGAGCGTAATTGGTTTGTAGGTTTTAGCGGCGGGCACAAGGTTAAAAACTTGCAACACCATTTTTTTCCGCTCCCTCGCTCTCTCTTAACGACAGGACGAGGCGTTGTGTCAACTGTCTCATTAATCTTGTCCATCGTCCCCGGGCCCCCTTCCAAGGCCCTGACACTTTGTTTATTAGGCTGTTATTATGGCATAAGACGAGGAATGCACGGCAGCGTGATTTATGAAATGCACTTTTGTCAGTGTTTTGGGCCTCGTATTGGTGTGTTGCATCCTTTCTCATCGAGGTGTCTTGTCTTTGCAAGGAATTCCTTGAGGTGGAATATTTGAAGTTCTTTAGGCCTGCATGAAGTAACTACAGTGTATGGATCGACTTGTGCGTATGTAAAATTGCACGCCAGCAATGCCTAAAGTAACTTTCCAGTTGATCTCGCTTGGATCTGGATTTGAACCCACCGTCTCGTGGAATCGTGGAACAGCGCTTCACCAATCGAGCGTCATCCAACCCAGAGGTGGAAGTCTCTACATTTCTTCACTTGTTGATCAGTTACAGTTTGGAGCTACGAGTACATGTAGAAGCTATGAGTACAGTTAGAAGCTATGAGATTTCGACAGAATGTGCATTCTGGCTTATAAACTAATGGAAAGTTTTGCCAATATTCTAATAACAGATTGTTTACAGTATTCTCGACTTTCTTAAAATACAGACATAGTAAGTGCCTAGCAGCTGAAACTTGCATGCACATTTATATGAAGGTTTATGGAGGTATACTCAGGCTTTGGGGGTGAACCCAAAATGGGGCTTCTTTCCACTTGTGAAATATCGGTCATTATTTTTGTCACTAAAACTTTTTTGTTCAAACATCTGAAAAAAGTGAATCACCCACAAGATTGGCACCTGTCCATCATTGTGAATGGTGCATGACCACTTGGCACAAGTCATGGAACCAGCTCACCCAAGTTGACCATGGTGCATTGCGAGCAGGAACATTGACACACTTCAAGAGTATGTGCCAGTCCTCCCATGCATGTATGTGCTTTAATCTAGCGCAGCATTAAACTCGTCTTTGGCGCAAGGCTTGACCCAACAACTGCTGCAGTAGAAATAATAAACACGCCATTCGTGGCTGGGTCGAATCCTGAGAGAGTCCATGTCGTCGATTACAGTCTGGGATTACAACTGACGGCCCGAAAAGAAGTAGCTAGATTTGTTTTACGAGCTCTGATTTGATGTGCACAGAGATTCAGAGACCCTCGGACTTTCTTCCTCAAAGGAATTGACTTGGAAACATGAGTCGGCGCCCCAAAATAGCAAATGGCTACTCCATAATTTCAATTTTTTTTTTTGGCTCCAGACAGTGAAACTCTACAATTCTGCAGCTGTTGTTCCAATCAAAAGTGTTTTACAAATTTCCGAATCTCAGTTCTTGATGGAGTCGAGGCCCGAATGTTAAAAGTGGCTTGGAGTCTGTCTAGTAATGAGTGCCGTGCCTGAATAATGTGTCCTGATCTCATTGGTGGACTATTTGATTTTGGAAACTTGCCTTCAGAGCTGTCTGCCCACACATTAGTGTTTGATATCAGAAACTGTCACACAGGAATTTATGGAGTGTCTCACCAACCAATCAGAATATCTCATTAGTATGTCCTCTCCCCAAGGGGTGGGGCTTATTTGGTGCTATAGCAACAAGCTGAAATAACATCTGTTCATGGGATACATGAATAGCCTTTTGCACATACGGTTTTTCCAGAAATTAGGGGTCCATTTTTTTGGTGTCCCTGTAACATATGACATGTGATTTTGTAAGTTGAGAACACATTATCTAATTTCAAAGTGGGATGAATTAATGCAAATTACCTGCCAAACAAATACTAACAGTTTGAAATCAATTCTGGTGATATTTCCATGTCATATAAGAAAGGTCAGACGTAACAGGGACACAAAAATGTCACACTTTTGGACCCCTAATTTCTGGAATGACCCATATACAAATGTTTTCTTTATCAGGGTGTGTTTCCATTTAAGCATTTGTTGAACCTTGGAATTGGCTTTAATTGTACATGTTCTTTGTGAGATTTATTCATTTCTTTTTGTACTTTTTTATTTGATGAGCAGATTCAAACTGGCAAATATTTGCAAAAGCGCAAGTTCGGTCTTCATTAAATATCAACATTTTCAAAGTCTTTCAAAGGACATTTTTTTCTCCTCTGTGATAACAAGAAACAGAATTGTCTCAGAACAGTCATGTTGGAATTCCTGTGAGAAGAAACATCTGTGGGCTGGAGCAGCGGCACTTGTGAAGATTATCACCAATGTTCTCGCATCTTTACCAAACGAGTTCAAGACACTACTCAGTACAGCCCAGTACTTAACACTAACCTGCAGCCATCAGTCATTAAAAAAAAAAATGATTTGGTTACCATATTTTCAGTGGCTTGAAATAATTATCTTTTTGCCCTCACAATATAAGTTAGCATTGATGGGAACCGGGTGGCTCGAAGTCCGGGATATTTTTAGTCAGCCAAAAAAAAAAAAAAGTTCATATTTGTGTATACACCAGCTGTCAAGTAAGAATGCTGGCCTGGTGCAGGGGGGTCCGATTGGAGAAAGTAGCTTTTCCCTGGGAACAAGGATGGGCCAGATCAGTGGAGAGAGTCGAGTTCAGGCCGCCTCATTTGTCCCCTGGTTTGCTTCACTCATTACCGTAAAAGGGTATCCCTGACTTTTGATTGGCCGAGCCCGGGTGGTCCAGAAATCCAGTGTCCAGCCCAGCCAAGCTGAGTTAATGATGATGACCCCTCAGCAACTTCTCCCATCCCCCCTCAACTACCCGATGAAAAAATACCATTATTGTGATAGATGATCAGCTTGCTGTGACTGTCAAGGCTGCTGAGCTGGCCAGAGCAGAGCCAACAGAACAGGCAGGGAAGCAACTGGTCATTGCCAAGGCACCGAATCCAGGTTTATTTGCTTTTGCCTGGCACAGGCCACGTGGTGTTGTTGACAGAGAACCCAAGGCCCCCTTTGACAGATAGGCAGATACATAGAGAGATACACAGAAAGTTTCAGAGAAGTGTGTGTGTAGGTGACACAGTTTTTTGGGGTGTACCAAGTGTCGGCACACGGCAGGGAGTTTACATGTAAATCTGAAGGGAAGCAGTGAACTGAACCAGAAAACAAGGAGATCCTGACTTCTCCCATTGAGACGAGTAGATGTGATCCACGCCTCTTCCCTAAAGAGGCACTGAAGGAGGTTCAAGTTTCAACCGGCGAGGATTTTGGACTAAATTTAGGTCTCCCAGTCCAGCTGGAATTTGAATTCTCTGTGGGAGCAGATTTTCGG